ACTTGTCTCTGACGCTCCTTCCTAATCTGAACAGATCTGATGAAGCTGTTTGTTCCTCTAAATCTGCCTGGGAAGCTCTGAGGCCATCTAGAGCAGCGGTCCCATGGTGTTCTATTGTTTGGTTTAAAGGAAATGTGCTTAAATGGGATTTTGTGCATTGGCTGATTTGCTTACAAAAATTAGCTACCAAGGACAGATTATTGAATCGGGGTATGGAGGTGGACCCTGTGTGCAGTTTGTGTAGAATTGTAAATGAATCTCATCAGCATTTGTTCTTCTCTTGTCCTTTTACAGTGCGCATCTGGGCAGAGATGGTTTGGTTGAATCATATTGCTAGAGATCCTTTGGGTTGGTCTGGGGAGATTCAATGGGATTGCACTGCCAGCACTTTGAGTAATGCTATGTTCAAACGTTCCTTGGCTAGCACTTTATATCATCTATGGTTGGAAAGGAATAGGAGAATTTTTACTCAGTCTGTTAGCCACAAAGAAGTGATAGTGGCTGGAATGGTCAAGGAAATTAGAGCCAGAGCTTGTTCTTCCATGAGAGTTAAGAATTCTTTGCAAAATCGGCAAATCTGTACAGACTGGGGGCTGCCTTGTTCCATTCTACAAACCTGATAAATAGATTTTCTCGCTTTCTTTTGTTTGTTTTGTTGTGGTGTTGATCTGTGTTTTTTTGTTTCTAGTGTGCAGGGGTAGGCCTTTCTTGTGTTCTTTGTGTTTTGTGTAGAATAACATTTTAAGTTACCCAAAAAAAAAAAAAAAAAAATCTACAAAAATATGATACGAGTACAGTCAGGATACGTTGAAATTTTTTTTAACAACTTTTAGTATTTTTTAGGAATAGTTAGCTTACTTCCTTTTTTTTCAATGGATATGTTAAATTTAATAAATCTGAAAAAGATACTACTTTAATCTCACTATTTTCTTCTTGGGTAAGAAATTAGAAAATATTGAAAAATTATTCATGTATCTATTTTTTGACAATTATACTCTAATAATATGCAAAATTATTACAATTTCAGTTTCATAGTAGTTTGGATGTGTGACCTAGATTATCCAGAAAGTATTCAATACTTCTCAAAATTGGCATCAAATATTAGATACATTTTAGGAAGTATTGGATACGTAACCGCAAGTATCTGAGGAGTTTCGGTATCCAATATTGGTACAATATAGATACAATTTCCTTTTAGAAGTATTTATGCTATGAGTCCAAGAAAGGAAAGGGAAAAAAGTTCGGTTTTGAAAGGTTTTGGAGTTATATTTCTATGATTATTAATGTTGTCATTTTTCTTGCATCGTTGAATGGGATGCATTTTGAAAGATAAGACCTGATTATGAATGTTTTGTATTCACACCTTTAGAGTGGAGACTCCACTAACTTTTTGAAAGGTTTTGGTAGTATACTTGATTTGATTGTTGTTGTTGTTTTTCTTGCATCATTGAATAGGATGTGTTATAGATTGATCTGATAGATAAGACTTGAACTAATAACACCCACAGAGTGGAGACTACATTTGGGAGATAGTGTTCTCTTTTCATAGTTTGTTGAACAAGAAATGAATTATTCAAGGAGGATATTAATACTTTTTGTTTTGGGGGTTTACTTGGGTATGACTATAACTATAAATGTTGTTGTTCTTATCAATCAGAAAAGGGAAAACAAATAAATATGTAGAATATGATACATACAAATACAATCAAAGTTTAACTGGAAAATTTTGTTTCACTTTCATAATCTATTTTTTGAATTTTTTTTGAATAAAATAGAAGCTAGTCTGACAAAAATAAGCACCAAAAAGGTATTTTCAAATTTTCAAAGAATATTTTTGCCTCCCCAAAAGATAAAACCCTGTGAAAATGATAAGTATTTTTAATTTTTTACGCCAAATTAGTTTTTCGTTTATTTAATTTTGTTTTTAGAAAATTTATTCTAAAAATCAAACCAAAGAGAGTCTTGTTGGCTGTTTTCCAAAGAAAAAATTAATATGCTTTTGCAATTTTGTGTGATATTTTAGTTGTTGATCCTAATATTTGCAGGCATTAAAGGATTTGCCTCGAGAAAAAGTTCAGTTAGCTACAAAATTTGGAATTGTCAAAATGGAACCTACTCAAGTTGTGGTGAAGGGTACTGTTGAATATGTGCGCTTTTGTTGTGAGTCTAGTTTGAAGCGCATTGGTGTGGGCTGCATTGATCTCTACTACGTACACTGGATTGACACATCAGTACCTATAGAGGAGATTGTAAGTTTCTTGTTTATATTTTCCATTTACCAATGCACCTCGAGTCTAGTTCCTAGTTTGAAGTTGGCTTCTTTTTTTTTTTGGTGGTGTTTTTTTTTTTTTTTTTTTTTTTTTTTTTTGTTTTGTTGGTTCTTCAATACCCCAAACCCGAGACAGTGGTCGTCAACACCCCAAAAGTCTATGGCCACTTCTCTCCAACCCTTTTTCTATCTCCCTCACCTGCTCCGCCGAGAACGATCCTCTGCTACCGAAACACAAGAACACCACGCTCCGTTTCGGCTGCGAATCGAGCCATTTCAAACACTTGGGGTCCCTAGATCTGTTCTCAGGTTCAGTAATCAACGGACCGATGTAGTGAATCGGAGGAGTTGGGGAATCAACGACGCACAACCCATCTGCGATTGCTTTAATGGGTATTGGCTCGAGATCTTCGAATGTGTTGACTATGATTCCATTTGATTTGGGTAGATGAGAAGAGAAATAGAGTATGTCATGATAAGCCGGGTCGTCTCGGTCGAGTACAGGCTCAGGCATGTGTACAGCTCGAATTGGGGGCAAACCCGGAACGTGAATTTCGGTGGCGGATAGGTCTCTGAAGCTGTTGTGAATTTGTTTGTGAATTGTTGGGAAGTGGAGGTAGGCGGCGAGGGCGGCGGCGCCGGAGGTGAAGAAGTAGAATATGGGTATTCCGAGGGCGGTGGCGATGGGGAGAGCGGAGGTGCAGAAGAAGTCGATGATGAGGGAGCGGATGGTGGAGGTTTGGGAGATTTGGTGAAGGGAGTGGCGGACGTTGGCGGCGTTGCGGCGGATGAATTCGAATGCAATGGCGGCGGGGCTGATGGGTGGCGGTGGTGGAGAGAGGAGGGAGGTGGTGGAAGGAGATGGAAGGGGTGGATTGGGAGATGGAATTGAGGTAGGAGTTGGTGGAGGGGGTGTCGAAGAGGCCGGTGGTGATGAGGATGTTGATGGTGAATTTGGAGGAGTAGTGGTGGAGGATGAGCTTGCCTAGCTCTACCATGGAGACTACATGGCCCATTCCTGGAGCTGGGTATAGGACTATGGTGTCTTTCATGTTGTTTGGTTTCAAGTGTAGTCTAGGGTACAGCTACCACAGTAGAACTGAGAGACTGTTGCTGTTTGTTAGTATTTGTCATTTGGGTGAATTAGACCATCTCCAACGCTTCAGCAAACGTGATATTAAATTCAAAATTTGATGAAAAAGTCACTTTTTTGAGCTCCAACCGTTTCACCAAATCGATATCAAATCCAGAATTCAGCAAATCTTGTACCAAAATGAGAACAGACGAAGCATTTTACCAAATCACTGTTCCTAACTGTTGGGAGAGACCAACCGGTCAACCAGCCGGTTGCCCGGCCGGTTGACCAACCGGTTGACCGCCTAAAGGTTCAAACGGTTTGAAAAAAAGGTTCAAATAGTAAATAAATAAATAAATAAAATTTTTTTTGCCTAACCGGTCAATCGGCCGGTCGACCACCCGGTCGGCTCGAAAAAAGTTCAGAAAGTTCAAAAAAAAGTTCGGACAATTCGCGAAAAAAAAAAAAAAAATTTTTTGCCTAACCGGTCAACCGGCCGGAGACCTTTGTCTGCATGTCCGCTCGAGCGGATATTTACACGCTCGAGCGGGACCCCTATTTTCTGAAAATATTTTTGAAGTGCATCTTTGCTTCCTCATTTCATCCTAGGCATTCCTAGGCCTCGTTTAAGGCATCTTAATGAGGATATTGATGTAGAACCACACCGAGTCAATCGTTCTCAGATAATGAATATTTTTTTTTTATGCTTGACTTTGATTAGGATTATTTTTTTTAAAATTATAATTTAGAAAGTATAAATATATAATATTTTTTTTTAATTATTAGGTGCATATGATATATATTATTTTTTTTTATAATAAATAAATAAACTAACTTAATAAATATATATATATATATATACAAATTAATGAAATGTACAATTTTATGATCCACCTGAACCGTGATGAAACTCTCCCAGAATTAAGATCAAGAGGAACAGAAATTAAGAGATTTAGATGTATGATGAGGGAAAGTGAGGACACAATTTTAGATTTGTCATATTATGGCCAAGCAACTTCTTGTAATGGATTACAAAATTATTTTACATCCTATAGTATTAAATGAGACTTGAAAGTTGTATGTAAACTTTTATCTATCTATATTAAAGTGATTCCAATATTACCAATTAAATTATGATGGAACATGTATGTGTGTTTGAAGGGAAATGCGTTTGTTTTTGAAGGATTAAGTTATGGGATTAGATTATTAGTATGGATGGATTAATAGTTTGTTGTTTGATATTAAATTTTTGCTTCGGATTAATAGTTTCATATTTGTTGGATTGTAGTAGTATCCCCAGGGGGGGTAGGGACAGAATTCGTGGGATGAATTATCTTATGGGATTAGTCAATGAAATTATATTTTTGACTCTTTAGTATTTAATATCTCTTTCTTCATCTTTTACCCATTTTTGCTTTCCAGCAACTTCGTTACTTCACTACAACAAAACCTTAGGCCATTTTCTGTTGAATCTTTGCATCAAGTTCAGATCTGTAATCTCCGATCTTCATTCAGGTTTGAAACTCAGTCTACATCTTTGATTTTGTTTGCTATTTATTTTTTATTTTCATTCGGTTATTTATTTATTTTTTTCCCAAATTTTTTCAGTTTACATCTTTAGTTTTGAAACTCAATCCATTCTACATCTTTTATTTTCATTCGTTTGCATCAAGTTCTACATCTTTGATTTTGAAACTCATTCTCATTTTTTTTTTTTTTAGTTTTTTTTTTTTTTTTGAATATATTCAACCCAATGTTCTGTGGCCTGTCTTGGTTTAGTGCTCTGTTTTATTTATTTATGTATCTTTTATGTACCTTGGATCTATGGTAGATGGCAAGAAATTCTTGTAGTGCTTTTTTTGCTTTGTTTTTTGTTTATAGAAAGAAAAATCTTTGCTCTGTTTTTGTTTTTGTGTTTTTTTTTTTTTTTTTTTACAAAAGGAAAAAATCTATGCTCTGCTTACAGAAACAAAAATCTGACTAGCCTCATCTTTACAAGCGTCCTGATACTTGATCAAGATCAATTTATGTTGTATGTTCTCAGATTGATCTTATGTTCTCAGATTGAAGATCAATCTATGCTATGCTGTATGTACTCAATTTAATCAAATACTTTTTGTTTGTTTTTTTTTTTAAAAATGATAGAAATTGAAAACAATTTTTTGTGGATTGTAAACATCTGTTGAGTGTAATTAATTGTTCTATTGTTCATATTTTTTAATTTTTGTGGATTGCAAACATATGTTGAGTGTAATTAATTGTTCTATTTTTCATATTTTTTTAATTTTTGTGGATTATAAACATCTGTTGAGTGTAATTAATTGCTTACTAATTATTTATGATTTGCCGTTATGTTTTCTCCTTTACTTAATTTATTTGTAATTTTAAATATTTTCTTGTATATAGAGATGGATCAGAATATCAATGATTTTGATGATGAGAATAACGATGAGCTTGAATTATACCTAGTGTTGCAAGCTGTAATGGAAGAATTACATGCCTTATGCGCCGTAGCTTTTGTTGTCAGTGAGGTTGTCTTGAAGAGGTATTTATCTAAGTATCGCCATAACCTTATTAGAGGCCCAATCGATTGCAAAAACAAATAGACTATATTAACCGTTTAGTGAGAGAAAGTGACATAACATGTGTTAAACAACTTCCCATGGATCGGCATTCTTGTATGACCTTGTGCAATATGGTTCATACAATAGGCAGGTTAGGACATTCAAAATATGTCACTTTAGAAGAGATGGTGGCCTTCTTCCTCTTCATCTTGGCACAACACTTGAAAATACGAAATGTTAAGTTCAATTTCTAAAGGTCTGGAGAGACTGTTAGTCGATATTTCAATGATATCTTAAAGGTTGTGTTGCGTCTGTATGCTAATTTACTCATCACACCAAATCCTACAAATGCAACAAACACCGATCCAAGGTGGAATTGCTTCCAGGTAATGGATTCGTAAAAATTTGATAACATTGAAATACTTTTTTTTATTTCTTTTATTAAATCTTTTTTACCAAATACAAAAATCATAACTATTATAACGTCTATTGAATTGGTTTGTTTAGAATTGTCTTGGAGCACTCAATGGCACCTATATTAAAATTCGTGTACTTGGGGTTCATCAAGCAAGGTATAGGACAAGAAAATGAGATATTGCTACTAATGTTTTGGGAGTTTGCTCCTAAGACATGAATTTCATATATGTGTTACCGGAGTGGGAAGGGTCAGCGGCCAACTCTAGGGTTTTGAGAGATACAATCAATCAACCTAATGGCTTAAGGATCCCAAATGGTAATACAAAAGTACTTAATTTTTCTTAAATTCATAAATAATAATTTAATCTAATGCATAACATTCCACGCACAGGTTACTATTATCTAGTGGATGCAGGGTATACGAATGGGAAAGGATTCCTAGCACCTTACTATGGTCAACGATACCATTTGTCTGTTTGGAGAGAAGGAACAACTCCAAATAATTACCAAGAATATTTCAACATGAAACATGCATTAGCCAGGAATGTCATGACCCGAACCCGCCCCCGTGGGTTCAGGACATAACCGACCAGAATCATGAGATTACCTACGGCCTTAAACCAAACTAAATGTATGTTAACAGAGTTAATAGAGGCCAAATGGAAGCAGTTTAAAACTTTGTCCATAGAGTTGTGCTTACATGGCATATCATAACAAACCATACATATGCAAATTAATAACTCACAACAAAATATGTACTACACAAGGTTCTGTACATACAGGATCATATAAGTCTAAGCCAACCCAAGAAAACTATATACAACATATTCAAAGACTTTGCCCACATGACAAAATAAAACAGAATGACAAAAGGCGAAGACGGGTCTCGCGTGTGAGACGCAAGGGCTGACTTTTCAAAACTTTCGTTGTTCCTCACAGACTTCACTGGGGCTGGGTTTGGACTTCTCTTGGCTCACCTACAAACACATGAATGAGCGTGAGCGAAAGCTCAGTGAATAATATCAAATAAAGGAGTTATACAAACGGTATGTAGCACAACATGCTTCAAACGACCTTGGGCCCAATTCACATTTTTCATTTATGTCAAACTGGCCTTTGGCCATTCATTTATTCGTATCAAACTGGCCTTTGGCCCATTCATTTATTCGTATCAAACTAGCCTTTGGCCCATTCATTTATTCATGTCGAAACAGCCTCTGGCCCATTCATTCATTCGTGTCAAAACGGCTTTTGGCCCATTCATTCATGTCAAAACGGCCTTTGGCCCATCCATTCATTCTTGTCAAAACGACCTCTGGCCCATTTACTCTATCATTCAGATCAAACTGGCCTCTGGCCCATTTAGTTGGCATAGCAACATTGTCCACCAATCGAATCAACGAACTTATAAAACTTACATAGAAGTAAGTAATTTGGACAACAACATTTTTCAGATATCTTTGTTAAGATATTACTCACAGTGATCGGTTGGTTGGTTTGCCCTGGAGCTCGACCCTACACATTCCATGAACACAAAAGGGTCACAAACAATTCAATCCGTTCCAAATTTACATTTTTCTCTTTAGGCTTCATTCTTATCTCTTTAACTCAATTAGAATGCTCAATGCATGCCTAAGAGTACTTAGAAGTGAAAGAGGACGGAAAATGAAATTCAGAATGCCTTTTCAAAATTTCAGAAAACAGGGTCCCCGCTCAAGCGGACCCATGAGGTCTGCAAAAGTGCTGGATGCATCAAAATTACGCTCGAGCGTGAAGTCTGGCGCTCGAGCTGAAGGCCAGTCTGCATAGCTCCCCGCTCGAGCGTGAACTTCCCCGCTCGAGCGGACATCCAAGTCTGCAAAAATACTAGGAGCACGAAATTCACGCTCGAACGGCGGTTTCCTCGCTCGAGCAGACATCAAATTTTTTGGGTTTTCCAGAACATGTTCTTGAGCTCCAATTCGACATTCAATGGTTCTAGATGCATGCTTTTGGCTCAAACTTTACATAATCATATACTAACATGGTATAAACCCCAAATTACAACCCAGTGAAGCTCAATTTCATGAATCAAACACATGCATGTCCCAAATTGACTCAAACTCATCACCAAGACACTA